CAGCGAAATGCTGGCGAATTTTTTTTTTAACCTTCGGTTCTTTCTCAGAAAATTATTGCCATTAACAGAGAATTCCTCTAATTTTTATATCCTTTATTCTTAGTTCTTATTGCCTTTCTTATGTGTTATATAGTTGTTCTTTTAATGGCACCAAAAGAAGATAGGAAAGACCCGGCTTGGGCTTACTCTGCAAGAGTTAGCGAGACCAACAAAATGGCAATTAGATGTCTTATTTGTGATAAGATTTCAAATGGGGGAATCTATCGTCAAAAAGCGCATCTAATCGGTAGTGATCCAAATGTCGCATCTTGTCCTAAAGTTCCGTCGCATGTGAAGGAAGAATTGAAAGCATTCCTTCAACAAAAAAAAAAGCCTCAAATGATTCATGAACAAGAACTGTACAATCTTGATGATGACGATGATGAAATAGAAGAAGGTGTTGATGCTTCCTCGCTTCCATCAAAATCACAAAAGCGAGGAAGGATGCAAACAGTGTCTCTAGTTGTGGATCTACTGGCAAGATCAAAGGTCCTATGGATTGTTACTTCCCGCAAAAATCCGGAGATACGGGAGAAAAAAGTGGTAATCCTCAAATTGATGCCAAAGCGATTTTGAGGGATCGTGCAGTTACAATGTTTGCGCGGTGGATGTATGATGCAGGTCTTCCTTTTAATTGTGTTAATTATACTGACACTTTTTCTGCTTTTATTGAGGTCGTAGGCCAATATGGTCCAGGAATGAAGCCTCCAACTTATCATGAAGTTAGAGGTCCATATCTAAAAAAAGAGGTGGAAGAGGTGAACAAAATCGTGGAGGAGCACAAAGTAGAATGGAACAAGTTTGGTTGTTCCATTATGATGGATAAGTGGACGGCAAGAAATGGAAAAATGATCATCAATATCTTGGTGAATTCTCCTAAGGGAAGCCTGTTTCTAGAGTCCGTTGATGCAAGCGACTCTTCGACTGATTCAACCAAAATGTACTCCTTGTTCAAGAGTACAATAGACTCTATTGGAGCAGAAAATGTTGTTCAAGTTGTCACGGACAACGCCAGTGAAAATGTTAAAGCTGGTGATTTGTTTGATGTCTGTTGGGTACCCGCATATTTATTGGACTCCGTGTGCAGCACATTGCATTAATTTGATCTTCGGTGGCATTTTCAAGGAAAGACCCTTCAGTTCAATCTTTAATCAGGCAATTAGAGTGTATTCCTACATTGTTCAAAGGCCTTTGTTATTGAATATGATGAAGAGATTCACTAAACAAAGAAGCATGGTGAAACCTGCAAAGACAAGATCTGCTACCGCTTTCTTGACTTGGCATAGTATGTGTGAGCAAAAAAGCAATTTGAAGAAGTTGTTTGTTTCAGATGAGTACACTAACAGTGCCTATGGAAGGGAAGCTCGAGGGAGAGAATCTGCAAATATTATACTTTCTCCTTCATTCTGGAACAATGTGGTTCATGCATGGAAGATTGGTGGTCCTTTAGTTAAAGTGCTTCGTTTGGTGGATGGGGAGCAAAGGCCACCAATGGGCTACCTGTACGAAGCAATGGATAGGGCAAAGGAAGCTATTCAAGCCTCTTTTAGTGATCACAGAAAATACAAAAGAATCTTTGAGATCATAGATAAAAGGTGGAATGGTCAGCTTCATCGCCCTTTGCATGCAACTGGACTTGTTTTGAACTCGGAATTGTTTTATGACAATGAAGAGAGGATTCTAGGAGATGAACCTTTATGGAATGGATACATTGAATGTATTGAGAAGTTGATACCTGATTTATCCGTGCAAGATAAAATAACAAAGCAATTTAGTGTACTTCTAGAAATGCTGAGTAACTTTTTGGAAAAAACATGGCGATTAGACAAAGAAAGATGAAGTCACCAGGTGAGCGAGTGCTTATATGTTGCTTTATAGTTAATAAGTTATTTCTTTATCAATATTATGTTTTGAAAATGTGTTCTACTTCTACAGTTGAATGGTGGAAGTAATATGGCCATTCCACTCCAGATTTACAAAAGTTTGCCATCAAGGTTCTAAGTCTTAACATGTAGCTCATCCGGATGTGAAAGGAATTTGAGCGTGTTTGAACATGTAAGAACTAAGAAGAAAGATTTAGTATATTGAGATAATTAAATTATATCTCAATTGTCCTAATCTTACTAATTACTTATTATTTGCAGATTCATACCAGAAAGAGGAACAAACTAACCTTGAAGCGTCTCAATGATCTAGTCTTCATTAAGTACAATAGATCCAATTAGTTTGGACAACATCGATGATGCTAATGAATGGCTAACTGGAGTCCCGGAAGATCACGCAGATGAAGAAGTATTTGAGGATACTTCTGATTTCACTTGGGGTGATGTTGCGGAGGCGCGTGGAATTGGGGAGAGGATTTATGGTTTGAGGGGGAGTACCTCAACTTCAAGTTCACAGAGGAAGGGAAAAGAGGCAGCTACTTTGTCCCTAGTTGATGAAGAAGTTGAAGAAGATGATGAGCAATATAATAATGATAGTGGAATACAAGAATTTGACAATCTTGTAGAAGAATAGGATGCTCGTTTTGTGCTTTAATTGATGCTCCTCTTTAGTTTTTTAATTGAAATATTGAACATTTGCTTACAATTACATGTGTTGTCTATGCAGTATTTATTTTAATTTTTCTTTTTTTAAATTCCGCTTCACTTCAAAAAAGCGAGCGCTTCGCTTCTCGCTTTAAGCGAAATGGGGGTTGTCGCTTTTCCTCGCTTCACGCTCTTCACAACACTGCTTGCATGATTACACATGATTGTAAATATGAATATGTTACCGACTGGTTTGAATTTGCACGTGGGACAAGTCCTTTACTTGATATATTAGAGAAATGTTTATTTAAGATGATTACTGTTATCTTAAATGTTCTCACTCTACTAGACATATTTTAGCGTTACTTGAGATATGATTATTGTTACCGATTGAAATTACATGATTTAAATAAGAATTGAAATGTCATGTACTGCTTAAGAAAGAAATTCACACGAGTATCGACTGATTACAAAGACAAGCGTAAGTGGGAGGAGACTTTGAAGGATCCCGTAGCTAACGGCATGTTCCTTAGACCGGGTGCACCTTGTGTAAATTATGGATTACCAGTTACTGTTATAGCCCTCGCTAGATAGTTAATAATCCTCAAAAGTCATAACATATTAAGCAAATGCAAAACCAAATCACAAAAGGAGACATCCTATTCTTCAACAACCAAAAAAAAAAGAACTGTTAAAACAGGGCAGAACAGTGAACAGCAGAAAAACAGAGCAGAAGCATAGTGAACAGCTGAAATTTAAAAAAAAACAGAGCACTCGCTTTTAATAGAAAACATGGCAGAACAAAGAACTGAAAAAATTAGAAAAGAAGAAGAGAAAGAGAAGAAGAAGAAAGAGGAGAGGAGTCGAACAGTGAACAGCAGAAATTAAATTAAAAAAAAAAAAGCAGTTCCCTAAAATAGAAAACAAGGCAGGATAGAAAAGAAGAACTGACAAAAATAGAAAGGAAGAAGAGAAAGAGAAGAAGAGAAAAGATGAGAGGAGTCGAACAGTAGCAGAGAAAATCAAAAGAGGAAGAGAAGAGAAAGAGAAGAAGCAGAAGAAGAGAAGAGAAGAAGAGAAACTTAGCTTAGAGAAGACAAGAACTCGAAGGCTTGCAGCAGTTGAGAGAAGAAGAGAGTCGTCGCAGCTGAGAAGCAGATGTGTTTGGAAGAAATGTGCGCAAGTGTATTTGAATTTTTTTTTAAAAAAAAACCCTCGGCAGCCGCCGGACCTCGCTTAAGCGAGCTTTTCTCGCTTTTTTCCATCGCCTCGCTTCTCACTTTTTTGCCTGAAGCGTGCGCTTATTTACAGATGCTGCGCTTCAGGGCAGAAAAGCGTAGACCCCTAGGCTCGCCTCGCTTCTACGCTTAAAGAGAGAAGCGCTCGCTTTTAATAACACTGGTATTACCGCGAGGGGTCGTCGTACCACCACGAGGATTGCAAGAAAGCCCCATCCTGAAATGAGTGCTAGCCCACCTCCAGAATCATAGGATAGTGTTACTGCTGAGGCACTTTCTTAATGCAGAAAGTCATAGAAAGCTAGGTGGACAGAATGGATAGGCACAAGATGGTTGGGCAAGATAAACCTATGCCAATACATGCACCTGCACAATCTCAGGCACCTGCACAGACTCAGCCTTTTGGGAATAAAGAGGTATCTTTGCAAGAGTTCCTAAAGTTGAAATCACCAAAATTCACAGGTTCTGATAGTTCAGCTGATCCTCAAAGTTTCTTGGATGGGAGGCATTACGTGCTCTAGGATGTTCTAGAGAGAGGGCGGTGGAGCTCGCAACATACAAACTAGAGAACATAGCTAATACTTATTGTTGTCTTTTGACTTATTGCGGGAGGGATATACGTCTTTTGAAAGAAATAACCATATTTATTTACATATAAGTACATCAAATTATTCTGTTTATTCAACATATATTAGAAAGCTCGCATAACAACTTCACTTTACTAAGTAAAGATTTATTCTGCATCTTTAGTAATTTATTGTACTATTTACTTTACCTTTTTGGCTAATTCATTGTGGAACTTTTTATTTCAAGAAAAAGTAATATTGTAGGAGTCCAACTTTTCAAAAGTCTCAGAAGCATAACTAAGTAATTTCAGCTCCTGCACACTAAGCTTGTATCCACTTCTATGTTAACATTTCTCTCATCTTGTCGTCCATGCATATTTGCAACAAATATAGAAAAATAACTTAGAGATTAATCTACTGTGACATTAAAAATTCGAAGCATCACATAATTTGAAACTAATGGAGTAGTACCTTGTTTATTTTACCAACTTAAGTTTTCACAACACATTTAAATAATTATTTTGTGCAATATAATAGAGATCACATGGTGGTCTAACAAATTAAGTACTTCTAGACATGGTTTATCAAAAAAAAACCTAGAAAACAGGCTTTATAGGTGTGGAGTGTACCATCAACAGCATCATGAGAAGTTGGTGCATGCCCACTGCGACTACTCCAAAATTGAAGTCTTTTATTGGCTTTATCCTCCTGTATACCATGGGCTTTGGCTCTCCTCCAAAAGTAAGTTAGCCATGCCTAAGCAAGTGAAATTTTGAAGGCAAGCTTAGCGTAGAGAAAAGGAGCAGAGCAGTGTGAACTGAAAGATGTAATTCATCTCAATGTTGTCCAGATAAGAACAAAGTATGCTGAATTTTCGGAACTCTCGTATTATAGTGTGATAAGATACAGATTCCTATTTAAGTGAAGAAAATTGTTATTTTGCAAATTGGTAATTTAAATTAAGACGTAGAATAGAACTGTTTTTACATTTATCGCACTTAGTTTTGGAGAGAAGTAAGCAGACTTGTGAAAAAAAAAAGAAAAAAAGGAAGTACTCAATGACAAGATGATTAAGGATCCTAGCTCGCTGGATATGTGGTATATAACTAGGAATCAGAAAGGTAAATGTAACTACAAGATGGATTATATACCTCCTTGAAAAGGACATCTTCAGACTCCTCGGGGCTGAGTTCTGAAAATAATGAAAATTTTACATAATATTCTCTCCAAAAAGGATTCCAAAAAGCTGTTACAAGATCAAGGCATTGGAAAACTTATTCAAATCAGACAAGACCAGGGATTTGCCAAAACAAGCTCAAGATAGGCACACCGTTCTTTTGCCATGTCTAAGCCGATGACAAGTATGTAAAAAAATAGACAAGTTTGGATGAGCACCTCACTGTTTTCCATATTTAAGCTAAAATCAAAGTATAAAACATAAAAAATTTAAAAAAAATTAAAAATCCAAAGGAAAGAAAGTTATAAATTTTAACAGAATGAGTTGCTTGTTTATTTCAGCTAGTTAAGTAGGATTCTGTGAGAGGGGCAATACTTTGATAAAGGAATCTAAAGACCTAAATGCAAAAATTGTGTCCTCACTAGAATGACAAATCAGATGGACTTACCAAATGCCTCCATATACTTCGGATCAATTGGTGATTTGATGTCTGCAATAATTAATTCAGATAATAAAACACAATCAATCTAGAAGGATCATACTTTTGTAGTTAAAAGAGAAGATGACTTTTAGAATTGTAGAACAGATGGAAGGAATTAACAAAAGAAAATATATCAACGAGCATCTGCATTTAAAATCAGCTGACAGATTTGCATATGCCACAACATAGAAGATCTTATTATTGAGAAGGTGTAAACCTAGATGTACTAAAATATCATTTCAATCAAGCGATTAAACTAAGATGCTTACTACTCCAGTTGACTTTTAAGTCGGTGGTCTTCTCCAACTGACCAGCAGAGAAAACGTTTGTCAGTCAATCTATGAGAAGTGCATAGTTGCAGGAGAGCTCTACAGTACATTTTACATGGTCATTAACAGTGTGTCAAAAGGACAGGAGACCAGGTGGTGCATTAACTTCAAGGCACAATGCGCGGTGAGTATTTAAATAATAAAAAAAATAAGAAATACATATAGATATAAAAAAATAACTTTAAAAAAGTACATTAAATCGTATATAAATAAAAAAATAAAATGTACATGTTAATCTAAATATCTAGGTGCAATAAAATGTGTACATCACAAACTTTTTTTTTTTTGATAAGGTAAATTGTATTAATCAAAAGGGAGAAAAGCCTCCCGTATACAAGAAGTATACCAAAAAGTAGAGAATTTACATCAAAGTGTACATCACAAACATTAAGTCAACAAATAATCATTTTAGGAAAGAAGGGCAAATACTTAAGATGCTACATATGTTCTATGGTGTACATTGCAAAGAAACCAAAACATGAAAGTCAAATCCACAAACAAACATACTTCGTTGCTATTAGGCTGCCTCATTGACTTGCACACGTGGAACACAACTTTTTCATCGCCCACCCGGAAGGTGAGCTCATGAAAGTCAAAGATGCAACAACAACTACTACGCTTCAATTCCAAACAAGTTGGGATCCACTATGTGAATCCTTACTTCTCCATTTTAGCTCAACTCATGTCATCACCATACTAAATAAAAATAAAAGTGAAAGATAAGTTAAGAAGTTTTCTAACTAGACTAAAACCTATTCCCGACTAGTTGATATCACCTATATGCATCTTTTCTTCCATTGTGCCCTATTTTTAGCCAAGTCTATGTTAGATAGTTATGTAAATAACGTAAATTAGTCCAAGTCCCACATAAAATAGGAGTAGGATATGTATTTTATAAATAGGGCTCATTGTATTATAATTGAATAGAATATCAAAAATATATTTCTCCCGTGTTTTCTCAAATGGTATTAGAGCAATCGTGAGAGATTTATTGTTGTGCATAAATTTCAGCGATTTCGGGAAGAGAAATCAGTCAACCGGAAGTCTTTTTCCGGCAAACACAGGTATGCCACTAGTAAAAAAAAACACTATTCGTCAATGTTATGCAAAAACTAACACCACCACGAAGTAGATCGGCCTCCGGTGACCAACCCATAAAAATATCTCCGTCAGAAGACCCTCCACGCGCCCTCACGCGCTGCCGGAAGAAAATTTTCCGACGAAGTTCCGACGTCACGCGCCAACGCATGGGGCACCTTCCGGCCATTTTTTGGCGACCGCTTTTCAGGACAGCTTGTTCCCCTTGCAATTCCGAGCCTACCCATCCAATTTAAACCAAATTCCGACCACTTTTATATTTTTGCGACGTGAACAATGATTTTTCCGGCGTGGACAATAACTTCCAGAAAATTTTCTGATTTTTTCGAAATGAACATTATAATGTCATTCGTATCAGAAGTCTTTGACTCACAATCCGTTGGATCCAATGCATTGAATCCAATCCAGATGATTTCTTTACCGGATTATATTGAGTTCATTCAGTACAAAGCATGTAAACAGACATCTTCAGGGATAGTTTCCGTTGTTCAAACAGGTAGTAGCATGACTTGTGTCTCCCAATCTTCAACCTCCGAGTCTTGGGTTATTGATTCAGGTGCATCTGATCATATTTCTGGTAACAAATCTCTTTTCACTACTATTTCATATTCTCAATCTCAATCTCTTCCAACAGTCACAATGGCCAACGTGTCTCAAGCCATGGCAAATGGAATAGGTCAAGCAAGTCCAGTTCCTTCCTAACCTTTAGATTCAGTTCTTTATATTCCCGGTAGTCCTTTTAATCTCATAGTCGTTAGTCACTTAGCCAAATCACTCTTGTTTTTATACAGGAATGCAGTACGGGGCGGATCATTGGTACTGGACGTGAATCAAATGGACTTTATTATCTTATCCTTGCTAAATCACATGAACTCACATCTTGTCTTTCTTCAACAACTTGTCATGTTACTGATTCACCAGAATTATTACATAAACGGTTGGGACATCCCACTTTGTCAAAACTTCAGAAAATGGTATCTGGATTGTCTCACTTGTCCACTCTGGAGTGCGAGTCATGTCAACTCGGGAAGCATACTCGCTCCCATTTTCCTCGACGTCCTGATAATCGAGCAGAGTCACCTTTCACTTTAGTCTATTCAGATGTTTGGAGTCCTAGTCGGGTCAGTTCTACCTTGGGATTCCACTACTTTGTCAGTTTCATTGATGATTATTCCCGGTGCACTTGGATATTTTTGATGAAATATCGATCTAAGCTGTTTTCTACTTTCCAGACCTTCTACACTGAAATTCAAAACCAATTTGCGGATTTCTCGTAGCGATATTGCCCTGGGTATTTGTCAACCCCATTTCAGCAGTTTATGAACGCTCATGGAATCATTCATCAAACATCATGTCCGTACACATCTCAACAAAATAGGGTAACTGAAAGAAAAAATAGACATCTCATTGAAATTGCTCGTACCCTACCCATACAGTCTTATCTTCCGTTGCGTTTTTGGGGGATGCAGTTCTCACATCTTGTTATCTTATTAATCGTATGCCGTCCTAAGCTATCCAGAATCAAGTTCCATTCTCTGTCTTGTTTCCCCACTCACCTTTGTTCTCTCTTCCACCACGTAACTTTGGGAGCACGTGTTTTGTTTATAACCTCACTCTAGGAAAAGATAAGTTAGCTCCTTGTGCTCTTAAGTGCGTATTTCTGAGTTACTCGAGAACGCAAAACGGATATCGATGTTATTCACCTGACCTCCAGCGGTACCTTATGTCCGCTGATGTTACCTTCTTTGAAACCCAGTCATACTTCATATGTCCAGCTGATCACTGAGATATTTCTGAGGTGCTACCAGTTCCATCTTTTGGGGATTCAATTACTATTTCCCGTTCATCTTCCTCTACAATTCCAGCTCCACCACCTACAGCTCCACCACTCCTGACTTATCATCGTCGTCCGCGCCCAGCATCAGGCCCAGCTGATTCACGTCCTGCACCTGACCCTGCTCCTACTGCAGTTGTCTCCTCTTAGTCAACCAATTACAACAACAACAACAACAACAAACCCAGTATGTTCCCACCAGGTGGGGTCTGGGAAGGGTAGTCTGTACGCAGACCTTACCCCTACCTAAAAGGTAGAGAGGTTGTTTCCAATAGACCATCGGCTCAGGAAGGTAATAAGAAGAAGTGGATAGCAAGAAAGGAAGAAAGAGGGAAGAGAAAAGAAAAAGGGAGATATAAAGGATAATTAGTACCAAATACTAGCAACAAGGGATACAATACCTGAAGCGAACAAAACCACATAACGTAATAAAAATCTAAGAATATGAAGGGACATGCGTACTACTAAGACTATCGGTGAGCAACTAAAAACTACCCACTAACCTTCTACCTTAATCCTCAACCTCCACACCCTCCTATCAAGAGTCATGTCCTCGGTAAGCAGAAGCAGCACAATGTCCTGTCTAATCACCTCTCCCCAGTACTTCTTAGGCCTACCTCGACCTCCTCAAACTCGCCATGGCCAACCTCTCACACCTCCTAACCGGGGCATCAATGCTTCTTCTCTTAACATGTCCGAACCATCTCAACCTCGACTCCTACATCTTGTCCTCCACGGAGGCTACTCCCACTTTGTCTCGGATAACTTCATTCTTAATCTTATCTCTCCTGGTATGCCCACACATCCATCTCAACATCCTCATCTCTGCTACTTTCATCTTCTGGATGTAGGAGTTCTTGACTTGCCAACACTCAGCTCCATACAGCATAACCGGTCGAACCACCACTCTATAAAAGGTATACGGTCCACACTTAATCCTAATCTCCACTATATCCGTTTAAGTTATCATCGTCTGTCATCACCCCATTATGCGTTTGTATCATCTTTGTCCTCTGTTTCCATCCCTAAGTCTACAGGTGAAGCATTGTCTCATCCAGGGTAACGACATGATATGATTGATGAGATGCATGCTTTACATATGAGTGGTACTTAGGAGCTTGTTCCTCTTCCTTCAGTTAAATCTAATGTTGGTTGTCGTTGGGTGTATGTAGTCAAAGTTGGTTCAGATGGCCAAGTTGATCGACTTAAGGCACGTCTTGTTGCCAAAGGGTATACTCGGATATTTGGGCTCGATTATAGTGATACTTTCTCTCCCGTGGCTAAAATAGCACCAGTCCGCCTTTTTCTATCCCTAGTTGTTGTTCGCCACAGGCATCTCTATCAGTTGGACATTAAGAATGTTTTTCTTCATGGTGATCTTGAGGATGAGGCTTATATGGAGCAACCACCTGGTTTAGTTGCTCAAGGGGAGTCTAGTGGTCTTGTATGCGGATTGCGCAGGTCACTCTATGATCTGAAACAGTTTCCTCGAGCTTGATTTGGTAAGTTCAGCACAGTAACTCAGGAGTTTGGCATGACTCGTAGTGAAGTTGATCACTCTGTATTTGATCAGCATTCTGCTTCAAATCTCTGTATTTATCTGGTGGTTTATGTTGACGATATTGTTATTACCGGCAATGATCAGGATGGTATTACTAGTATGGAAAACTATCTCTTTCAGCACTTTCAGACTAAGGATCTGCGCAGATTAAAGTATTTTCTGGGTATTGAGGTCGCTCAGTCTAGCTCAGGTATTGCGATCTCACAAAGGAAATATGCCTTGGACATTCTTGAGTAGACAGGAATGACAGGTTGTAGACCTGTTGACACTCCTATGGATTTGAATTCTAAACTTCTGCCAGGACAGTGGGAGCCGCTTAGTGATCCTGCAAGATATAGGCGGCTAGTTGGTAAATTAAATTACCTCACAGTGACCAGACCTGACATTTTCTTTCCTATGAGTGTTGTGAGTAAGTTTATGGATTCTCCATGTGATAGTCATTGGGATGCAGTTGTATTCTTCGATATATAAAATCAGCTCCGGGCAAAGGATTATTGTTTAAGGATCGACGCCATGAGCAGATCGTTGGATACTCAGTGGGCAGAATCACCTTCTGATAGATGTTCTGTGTCTGGATATTGTGTTTTAGTAAGGTAATTTGGTATCTTGGAAGAGCAAGAAACAGAATGTGGTTGCTCG